GTCCCCTTCCTCTGACAGAGCCCAAGGGGAGGACCCGGCGGGCGGCCCGGAGCAGCCCCGGAGTCGCCCCTGCCAGGCACTTACACAAAAGGGCTACTGACCAGGGGACGCCAGGGTCAGCCTTCCCCACCCCTTCCGAGCCGCGGAGCAGAGGCTGCCTGGTACTGGGCCTCTGCCTGCCCCTCCCGCCACAAAGGCTTGTCCGCAGGCCAGTGAGGCTCCTGCAAGCCCCCTCTTCCTGGCCAGCAGGGGCAGAGGGTTATCATTGGCTTTTGGAAAAGGAAGGACATTTCTGCTGCCTCATGAGGTCATGGCCAGGCCTCTCTCCCTGCCCTCTCAGCTCCTCTCTCCGACACAAACCCAAGCTCCTGCCTCACTCTCAGGTGTGTGCCCGACCCGTTCCCAGAGAATATGTTTTAGAAGGTCATGAACGAGCGCCATGAAGGTGGCCTGAGCTCAGAGAGGCCGACGTGGAAGAAGGAAGTTCGCGGAGGTCGGTGGCCGGCAGTCAGCGTAGCCGCCCAGGACCCGTCCCCCAGGCTTGGCATCATGCTCTGATGGCCTCTGTGCCACTGGGGAAAGGGGAGACGTTGAATGGAAATACACCTTTCTCCTTACCCTCAGAAGCAGCTGCTCACTGAAGGGTGAAACTAGTATCATCACTGATTGGAGAACAAAAACAAGAGGAAAAAAATTAACTTCCTTACAATTGCAGCCCATCGACAAGTACTTGAAACAGCCACCTTCCTCTGGAAGCTCAGCGGCCCCCAGGTTCCTACTTTGCTGGAGGCAAAAGGCAACCTTAGCTGGACATCAGCCAACATCCACTTTGACATATAAAATTCGCTGCGAACCTCAGCGCTTACCTCCCCCCAGGTATGTATGCAGAAATGTCATCCTCCAGGCTTATGGCCTTATTACTGTGAGGAGGAGTCTCGGGACCCAGGTTTGTCCACTGTTGTTGTCAGTGACCTAACAGCAGCTAGCCTCAGGCCTGGAACCTTGCTCCCCACAAATTCCTTACAGACTTCTGTGTCCTGACCCCCTCCCAAGCGTTATGTAACCTGTCACTCCTCCTTTACCCCCAACCTTACAGGTCCTGTCCTCGTTCTTTCATGAAACCATCTTTTTTTTCTTTCTGGACTGTTCACCTCGCATTTCCACATCAGTCACCAAAATTTGAAAAACATATATTTCTTGAGCGCCTACTGGGTGAAACAGTCGGTTAGCGTCGACTTCAGCCAGGTCGCGATCGCGGTCGTGGTTATTCGAGCCCGATGACCTCTGGGCTGATGGCTCGAGCCTGGAGCCTGTTTCCGATTCTGTGTCTCTCTCTGCCCCTCCGTTCATGCTCTGTCTCTCAGCTCCCAAAAAAAAATAAATAAGCGTTGAAAAAAATTTAAAAAAAAAAAAAAAAAAAGAAAAACATATTGCCAATCTTGAAGCAGGCTGGCTCGCAATAAAAGAAAACAAGGTCAGGAGAGGTCAAAACTGTGTTATTGTGTACAGTAATCACTAGCCACAGAGTGGTCATTAAATTAAAAATGAAATAAAATTTAAAATTCAATTCCCTGATTCACTAGCCTTGTTTCAAACATGCAGCTAGTGGCTAACACATCGGACAGCACAAATAGGGACTATTTCCATCGCATCACAAAAGTTGATTATATTGAGTGCGCCTGGGTGGCTCAGTCAGTTGGAAAATCACGACTTCAGCTCAGGTCCGCGATCTCATGGTTAAGTGATTTGAGCCCTAATGTCGACTCTTCCGTGTGCTGACAGCTCAGGAGCCTGGAGCCTGCTTCGATTCTGTGCCCTCCCTCTCTCTCTACCCTCCCTTGTTCATGCTCTGTCTCTCTCTGTCTCAAAAATAAATAAACGTTAAAAAAATTTTTAAAAAAGTTATATTGGGCAGCACCGCTTTCTGGTTTTGTGGGAGGTGAGCCCCAGGAGCTGGGAGAACAGACTGGTAGGGGGTGGGGGAGGCTGGGTCCCTTCCCACTGCAAGGCGGCTGGATTGGGCTGCTCTGGGGCTGGGGGGGGGGGGCGTGGAGATCCAGGGTTGCAGGGGTGAGTCAGATGGGAAAAGGAGCCTCTGTGCTTGCCCCACTGCCTCCTCAGTGGGGTTCTCCCTTTCTGAAACCAAAGTATCCTGCAACAATGCTCTTCCTCCTGCACATCCGGGAGGCAGAGCTGAGCCCAAGCTCATTCCCAGGGCAGAGCTTGGGGTCATGGGGTGCCTGAAATCACCCGCTGTCAAAGCTGGGTGGGAGATCAGGTGGGCTGCAGGGTCTGGAGAGCAGAGAAGCCAGGCCATCAAAGCCACTTTGGAGAACTAACAACACCACAAAACCCTTACCGAATGCCTCCACGTGGTGGTGCCCTAAGTGGTTTCTATGTGTTAATGCATCCGACCCTTAAACAGTAACACAATGTTAGATTATTATCACTTGTCTTCACAGATGAGGAAATGGAAGCACCCAAGTTAAGTGAGGCGCTCAGGGTCACGCACCTCGGGCTGGCGTCGAGCCGGGTGTTCTATCCCAAAGCCAGTCACGTCACCTCACTCACCTGCGAGCCCTCGACTACCTGAGGTCCTGGAGCTGGGCAGCTATCCCGTGGACGACGGGGTCTTGGGGCAGAGGTGACCTCAACAAGGGGAGGGGCCACCGGCAGAAAGGAGGCCAGTAGTGTCGCCATTTGCAGAAGTGTGGGTGTGGGGGCACCAGGCCCATGAGGTGAAGCCGCCCTGTGTTGGTCAGAGCCGGGCATTCCTCTCAGCACTTAACTGTCACCTTCCCTGAGTTTGCGCAGCACACATTATGTGACCTCACAGGCATCCTCGGGTTGTTTTTGTATGCATCTCTCTGCAGTATTTCCATTCAGTCTACACCTCTCCCCACGTCTTCACCTAGAGGAAGATGTTTGCTAACAGGCCAGGTCCACGGTCACGTGTGCAGAAACACACCCTAAATACAGCATCTGTGTGTGTTAAGCAAGCTGCTGTCTGCAGGCGAAACACGCAGCACTCGCTACGTGGACGTCTAGGAACGCCGTGTGCTGTAAAGTCCTCCGGACCACGTGCAAAACATGTAAACATGTATCCTACACGAAGGACCCTAGAGAAACTGCTCTGCTTCTTGTGTTTGCTGAGCAATGTGTAATCCCACATTAATGAATACCCGAGCTCTCTCGGGTCTTCCAAGTATTAATTCTTGTTTATTTGGTTATTCATAAGCATTTGTTTCAAAATCCAAAGGTACAAAATAACATACCTCGAAAACCTCCCCCCGCCCCCAGCCATCCAGAACCACCTTGTTCCCCTTCGCCACATGCTCAACATGGGGCTTGAACTCACTACCCCAAGATCAAGAGTCCCATGCTCTACCAACTATGGCAGCCAGGTGCTCCACGAATGGTAACAATTTATCTCAGAGATCTTTCCATACAAGTGCCTGAAGAACAAACTCATGCCCTACAGCTACACAGTATTCAATTGCATGGATGTATCAAACTTACCTTTCCCAGAACAGTCAGGTTATTTCAGCTTTTTAAGTGTCTATGTATTCAGCTAATATAAACGAACAAATATTTCATAGGAAAAACCCTCTGTGTCACGCTTCATATTAGGGTCTCATAATACAAGTTTCAGCAAGACAGACAAGGCTCTTGCTTTCATGTGTGTCACATTCCAATCACCCTGAGGCTGTATTCTGGTCATACGTCACCTGGGAGCACAAGTCAGTGAGTATCGCGACTCCGTTTTCATTGTGCTCTGACGTATAATTTGGATATTGGTCTGCCAGGGCCAGCGACGTAATGTGAGGGTCCCCATACAAAGTGGAACTCTGAGGCACCTTGTCCAAACACCAGGGAAGGACTCCCTTTGTTGTGTGGGTTCACCCTTGATGTGTCTTGGTGGCATGTTTTTGTTTTTGTTATTTAACGGCACATTCTTTCCGGGAACAGATACTTAGGGGCTGAGGGCAGCCACCTCAGACTTGCCCTGACGGTTGTGCCTGCCTGACCCTTCCTTTCCTCTTTGCCCGGCCCCTCCTGGGAAAGCGCAGCACAGAGGGTGTCTCCTGGGGGCCTGGGAGGCTGTCCTGCGGATGCGGGGACAACTGAAGGGCAAGAACAACCTGGAGCCTGGGCTCTGGGCCCCCAGCGCAGTCTCCTCGGACTTCACTTACAAAACACAGATTGAGAGATAAGACTGTTAGGAACTTCAAGGTGAGGACACAGAGCACGAGGAGCCCGAGGGGTCCCTGCTAAGCACGGGGTGGTGTGAGCGTCCCGGCCATGTGCCCACGGACTTCAGTGCCTTCCGCAGAGTGGAGCCTGTGCGTCTGCCATTCTAATAAACACTGGGAAATTGCACGCAGTGTGTCTGTTGTCCCACGGTACCCACTGTGTCTCAGCTTCTCCGTTGTCAGTGGGGGGCATGACCACGTCCACCCAGGAGCGCTGGGAGTTACGTGCACCTCCCTGTGAACGGCGCTGTGTTCACCCTGCGGCGACCTTCCTTCTGCGACCCTCTAGTGCTGTAAATACCAAGAGGAATTTGACATTTTCTTTTCCACCCTTGTGGCCCAGCTTCCATGGTATTTGTGTTGAAGTTGGTCTGCAGAGTCCCCGGAGACTCGGTGACTGATAGACCCAGGTCTCACTTGGGCCCATGTAACCAGGTGTGTCACAGGCAGGTTGGGGGCAGGAGAGCACTGGCCCCGGCACAGCTCATCCGGGAGCGCGCGCCGGGAGCCTGTGCGCACGCGCGCTGTGTTGCGGCCAGGTGTGTTCACCTGAGTGCTGAAAAGGCGGAGGAAGACGCGGACAGCAGTCTTCTGCCAGGGCGTTACGTTGTAACCATCCACGTCTTTTCCCCACGTCTGTGTCTTCCCCGCTACCACTCTGGAACGCAGCGATGTTTCCCTCTTTCGTGCAGAAAGGCGTCCAGCTTGTTCCCAATCGGGGGAGGCACTTAGGTGCGGCGGGCACGCATGCAGCTCGGGTTTGACCAAACGGTCGTGCGCGGTCCGTGCAGGCGGCACGGAGCCGTGTCGTGCGTCCTCGCGGGGCAGCACAGCCGGTGCAAGGCCTCGAAGGCGGACTGCGGCTCAGGACCACGAGGAATCTTCTCTGCCCCGGGGCGCTGGGGCCAGCTCCCCGTCCTTACCGCCGCCGGACGGCCAAGCCCAGGTAACCTGTGGTCCTGCAAGAATATACGCACCGTTTGTACCGATCTCGGCCCCCCCCCCGCCCCCGCCCTTGGCTTCTTTCAGTTCCCTCGGCCCCTCCCTTTTCTCCCGCATCCCTGCAGGATCCGCAGGGGAAGGCCCGGACGCGCCCCCCGGTTTGCAGGGCAACAGGGACGTCACGAAGCCGCCGCCAACAATTGGTTGCCGGGTCTCTGGGGGCGGGGCAGAGGAGGCGGGGCCCGGCGCAGGTGCAGCGGCGCGCTGGTCTCCCCGTTGCGGTTGGGCCGGCAGGTAGTGCACCGGCCCGGCCGCACCCAGATGCCCAGGGCCCGCTGGTCCCCACGTGCCTCCCCGACGCTGGGCAAACGCGCTGCTGGGCGTCTGGAACGGGGCACCTGTCGTTCTGCCCGTCACCTCGCTGCCTGGCCATCACAGGCTTTCCCAGCAGAGGAACCTGGGTGAAAGGGCAGTCGGCATTCGGGGGTGGGGGGTGGGGCTCTGGCCCAGAGGGTCCCCTTCCAGCGTCTTCACCTAGAGGAAGATGGGCGGAAGCTCGCATCCGAGCGGTCAGGTGCAAAGTCCAGCCTCAGTGTCTTTACCCGGGACTGGGGATTATCCCGCCCACCTCATGGCCTGCTGTGAGGAGTAAATGACACAGGACCGTGAGGTGCTTGGCCTGTGTCTGGCGCCGTTAGGACCACAACAGCACCGCTGTGCAGGGCCTGTGCCCGGGAAGTTGGGCCGGGAGGGCAGGGTTTCTCTTGTTTTCCCTGCTCCCTCCCAGGTGCAAGTGCAGGCTTCGCAGTATAGGGAGCATGTTGAAAGAATGAATGACAAAGGGGACGCCAGCCTGGGCCCCCAGCCCCTGTGTTCTCCTCCCTCTCAGGCTGTGGGCACACTTCCCGCACTGTAGCCCCACCAGCTCAATATTTACCCTTGTACTTCATCTAGATCATACCAGTGTGTTAACTCAGATGTTACTGTTGTTGACTTTGGATCTTGAATTCTGGATTAAAGGCTTTGTGTGCGGATGAGGGGCTTCAGGTGTCTGCGGGCCTAAAGGGAGCAATCGTGAGGGGGAGGAAATGGATTTGCTGCCTTTCAGGGGCCAGGCACACCGTAGGTCACTGAACCAGGGTCTCCTCCCCTCCCTGCTCCCTGTTCACTGGCCATTTGCACAGCTTCCAAGACCCTCAGGTCCAGGAAATGAGTGCTGCTTCAGCTCCATCTTCCCTCCTGCTCCCGGAAGGGGACACACTGGTTTTCCCCACCAGTGACACTGTGTACGTGCCAGAGGTCACTGGTGCTTCTGCACCCACAGTGCCCAGGCTGGGGCGCTCAGGGACCCTGTGAGTGCCGAATGAGAAAACTGGGGTCCGGACTTTAACAACTTGAGCTAAGGGGCACCTGGGTGGCTCAGTCAGTTAAGCATCCAACTCTTGATTTCGGCTCAGGTCATGACGTCACGGTTCGTGAGCTTGAGCCCCACACAGGGCTCTGCTCTGACAGTGCGAAGTCTGCTCCCTCTCTCTCTACCCCTCCTAGCTCGTGCTCTTTCTTTCTCAAAATAAATAACTAAACATTTTAAAAAATAAAAACTTGAGCCAAATCAAATTGAATTAAACTGTGTCCTTTTGTTGAATGAACCTTATGACCAACCAGGGTTTTGGCTCCCCTTTGCTGTTGGTTCTTGGCCGCACGGGGAGTAGTTGGTATTGCTAAGTCACTGGATAAAGGAGGCAAACGTCGTTACAGTTTTATCCCAGAAAAAACATTGTGTGTGTGTGTGTGAACTATATGTTAATATATTTGCCTGCAAGATGTTTCATATGCTTGTTGAAACTGTTGATTCAGTTACTGACCTGCTAACACCCTGAAGTCCAGCCGGCTCAGCCAGTCTGGTAATGCTATTCCCTCTGGAAGGATGAGGCCTCAGCAAGAAGCCAGCAAGTGACGAAGGGGTCATGGCCTTAAACTTGGTGAGCACGGAGCTGGATGTGGATGCGTGCGTGTCTGGGGTGGGTAGACGTGGGCACAGTGGCTTTGTGTTGGTCTGGTTGTACTTTTGGGGTGATTTCAAGCAGCCAGTGGGACTACACACTATTGCATTCAAACCAGGGAAGGACACCGCTTACGAGCCTTCCCAGAGACGGGAGATTTCCTTGTTGTTTCTTACACTGTTTGGTATATTTTCACAGTCACCACATGGTCTTTATAATAATGATTGTTTTTTCAGTTACAAAATGAAGAAACCTAAACAAACAAACAAACAAACAACAAAATGAGCAAACCTGAACAAAAGCTCCTTAGGGAAAATGCTCAATTTCTGAAGGGACCTCAGGCTCGTCTGGTAACGAGCGCCATCTGGTGGTCGCGTGGAATTACTGCTCTGGCCAGAAGTCCGCGGGGAGGAGCTGGAGCTGGGAGCACCCAGGCCTTCGCCAAAACTGCACACGGTTTATACTTACTGAGACAGTGCTCCATGGGTGAACTCAGTTTAAGGACCTGATCGTGTGTGACACGGATAGCGGATGCCAATCAATGCAGGAAATACTAATTTACGTTCATGTGGAGTTTTTAACCTCAGAACATTTTCCATGATAGTATTTGTCCCTCACAGTAACACACGACATAAGTGGATCAAATACCTGTATTGGGATGATGAGCCTGAGGCCACAGGAGTCGTGAGGAGCCCAAGGCCGGCCAGACCTGGAGGCCTGGGCCGCAGACTACGGACCAGTGTCCTTTTCCAGACACTGCTTCGTGGGGACATTCAGGTGCTGTACTGGGAACCATGACCTACCGGTCCTCCAACTTTTCTCTACCATTTGTATAGTTTTTGTGTTGGTTTCTATACCTTTTCATTATTTGTCCCGACCTGAAAGCTGTTTGGAGAGGTTTTTATCAACAAAGCTAAATTTATGCAGAATTCATTTCATTTTTGTTATTAACCATATTTTAAATTGTAACTTCCTCTACTAGTCAGCACCATGTGCCTAAGCATCTGAATAACTCCACCTTTGCTCCACCACTAAGGAGACTTGATATTTTAGTTAGTGGCCATAAGAGTAGCTGTAGCTGGGGGCGCCTGGGTGGCTCAGTCGGTTAAGCGACCGACTTCAGCTCAGGTCATGATCTCATGGTTCACTAGTTTAAGGCCTATGTCTGGCTCTGTGCCGACAGCTCGGAGCCTGGAGCCGGCTTCAGATTCTGTGTCTCCCTCTCTCTCTGCCCCTCTCCACTCGCACTATGTCTCTCTGTCTCAAAAATAAACATTAAAAAAATTAAAAAAGAGAATATATGTATCTGTTTTGCTTAAAAAAAATTTTTTTTAATGTTTATTGATTTTTGAGACAGAGAGAGACAGAGCATGAACGGGGGAGGGTCAGAGAGAGGGAGACACAGAATCTGAAACAGGCTCCAGGCTCTGAGCTGTCAGCACAGAGCCCGACGCGGGGCTTGAACTCACAGACCGTGAGATCATGACCTGAGCCGAAGTCGGACGCTTAACCGACTGAGCCACCCAGGCGCCCCTGTTTTGCTTTTTACATAATAAAATGAAAGCATGGATTTATTTTTCTGTCTTTGTGGATTCCAGCTTTAAAATTTTTTTTTCAACGTTTTTTATTTATTTTGGGACAGAGAGAGACAGAGCATGAACAGGGGAGGGGCAGAGAGAGAGGGAGACACAGAATCGGAAACAGGCTCCAGGCTCTGAGCCATCAGCCCAGAGCCTGACACAGGGCTCAAACTCAAGGACTGCGAGATCGTGACCTGGCTGAAGTTGGACGCTTAACCGACTGCGCCACCCAGGTGCCCCAATGTGGATTCTGGCTTTAAGACTACCTTACCAGACTGCAAAGATTATGAAGGCTGACAGCTTGTCTTCTCGTGAAAAACAAACAAAACTTCAGCCAACCAAGTTTCCTTTATGTACCTGTAATACTTTCAATGGTAGCTATGGGAGATATCGACCAATAATAGGACTTTCTTATGGGCCACTTGCCAGCAATGTCAGCACATCTGTAGGAAAAGCATTCTGAATCCTTTGTTTTCATCTTTCCGAGCAGACCTCTTGACAATGTTCTCTTTGTCAGCCAAGACTCCCCCCTTGATAAATATATATATATATATTCATATATTTTTAAGTTTATTTATTTTTATTTTTTAAGTTTATATATATTTATTTTATACTTTATTTTATACTTTAAAAAATATATTTTTAAAGTTTATATATTTATTTTGAGAGAAAAAGAGAAGACATGCCTGAGCAGGAGAGGGGCAGAGAGAGAGGAGACAGAATCCCAAGCAGGCTCCACACTGTCAGTGCAGAGCCCAGCGCAGGGCTCAATCCCACCAACAGTGAAATCATGGCCCGAGCCCAAATCAAGAGTTGGGAACTTAACCGACTGAGCCACTCAGGCACCCCTTTTTAAGTTAAAAAAAATTTTTTTTTATTTTAGAGGGAGAGAGAGAGTGAGGGGAGGAGGGGAGAGAGAAAGAGAGAGAGAGAGAGAGAATCCCAAGCAGGTTCTGTGCTGTCAGTGCAGAGCCCGATGGCTGGGTTTGATCTCACTAACCATGAGATCATTACCTGAGCTGAAAGCAAGAGTCAGATGCTTAACTGACTGAGCCAGCAGGCATCCCTTAAGTTTATTTATTTGTAAGTAATCTCTACACCCAACATAGGGCTCAAACTCACAACCCCAATATCAACAGTCTCGTGCTCCTCTCACTGAGCCAGCTGGGTGCCCCAAGAGTTCCTTTTGGATTTAGTTTGGTAATGCCATACACAATTGGTGAATGCGTACACAATTCACCCAGTTTTACTGCATAGGAAGTGATTCCACAGAGAGACTCCCACATGTGGGAAATGATACCTGTACAAAGTTATTCAATGCAGTATTGTTTGTAATTGCAGAAGGCTATAAACATGTCAGGGTCTATCAAAAGTGGACCGCATAAATTATCTCTGAGCCAGCCAGCCAGTGGAATATTATTTAGCTATAATGAGGCAAGGGGGAGCCCCCTGAGTATCGATACGGAATACCCCCTCAACTATAGTATGCTACTATTGTGTCATAAAGGGGAAACTTATTTGTTTACACAGCCATAGTCTATCTCTGGAAGAATACATAAGAAGCCCATCCTGTCCATCGTGAGGCCTGGCATCCACGGTCAGGGGGCTGGGCTGAGACGTGTCCGAGGGGGATTTAGGGGTGTAAAGGGAGTTACCCATTCATGGGCT